TCTCACATTCTTTATCCACGATGCTGTTTCACCTTTTCATATTTGTGGTAGTAATTTATTTGGCCGCGTCGACTTAGCCCGCATCACCTGTCTGTTCTCCACCGTTTCGAGCTTCTACATTAAAATGACTTGCAATTGTAATCATTAATATTAAACCAAGACATGAATACTTAGTACGTACGTGATTCGTATCTCTGGCACTGATTGATGATCAGGATTGCCACAGAGAAAGCACAGATAAGCTTTGTAACCGCTTCGTTTCATTATTATACTGTACGTACTGTCTCACTCGCGGCAGATCTCAATCTAAGACAACAGGGTCGCAGTGATCTAGTGGTAAGACATGGATGACATTCGTCGTTCGATATTTCCGAATGTTGGGTACGCCACTTCACCATCCCCAGATCATCTACAGGTAGTGCCTCTGGCGCTGTTACAAGTTACGCTCACTGACACTAGATGAAGCCAGAGGCAAATTCATGATAAGCAAGCCTTGCACGATTTTAGATCCTCCCCGTTCAATTTCAAGTGTCCGACTATGAGGACAGTGAGTCCTTAGAGCGGCAACTGAGCTGTCCTGGCAGGACAACCTGACTCTCGCCACCGCCAGTTAGGTACGTACTAGTTTCACTTTGGATCCCGATGCCGTTGGAGCACGCCCACCGTAGGAGCTACAAATACAGGATGCATCGTGCAAGTGAGACCAACTCTCTACGCCCATGCAAGCTTACCATCTTCCTAACTTCCTCGTTTTCCTCCCCAAGAAACCAGGTGGCGAGATCAGTCCCCACTTCAAGGACGCTGATACCGGGTACAACTCATGGGTTCATGATAAGATTGGCTGGCTTTTCGCTATTGTGCGTATCTCCCACTTGCGTTTTTTTTATAGCTCACTCTCTGACTCTCGCTGATAGGAGGTCTATAATGCCGAAATGCCTCTACTGGCAGCTTTAGCGTTTCCCCTTGCTTCATGTGCAGAGTTGAGGGGAATTCTTGACTATATGACAACATCATTCATGCTAGAGGAGTTGACGTACGTACCGCCCATCGTTCCATCTCCATGTATGTTCAGAGATTTTACAGGGATCGCTGTTCGAGCGCAGAGGCTGTAACTCGCTCGCAGCTGTGGATGAAAACGCTGTCGCAATGTGACAAGGGTGAAAGCGCTCGACATCCATTCATCCGAACGATGCGCAGGTTGGTCACCAATTCTGAGCGGTGGACTCGTTGATGATGTCCGATTCAGGGAGTTAGTCCCTAATATGAAAGCCGTCGTGGACCCGTTTCACTGGCCACAATTCCTTGATTCTAACGTCCACTTCTCCAAGAACACCATTCAAGAAGCCCTTGACCGGGAATCCCATTCAAAAAAGGACACGGTTCGCGACATCCAGTCGTACATGGTCATGCGTCGGGAGACGATCGGTACTCGTCCATGCTTTGTTCTGATGCGGTCCATTCGCCGTCTCTATATCCCTGACGATGTTTTGGCACACCCGATTATAAGAGAGATGGAGGACGTCGCATTGGATATGGTTTTCATCGTCAATGTAAGCCCCCATTTTCTAACCCTTTTCCACTGAAAGTGAATCCATCTTGCGTTTCATCAAGGATGTCTACTCTTTCAAGAAGGAATACGGCGATAATGGCGCATTGAACAACCTTTTGACAGTCATGGAAAAGGACCTCATGGCTAGTCATATGGATTTACAGACAAGACTCGATCATACCGAGAAACTGTTTACGGCGGCCTTGGACCGCTTCCATGCGTGCAGGAAAGCGCTGCCTTCGTTTAATGCGGCTCTCGATCGTCATGTTGCTGCCTATGCAGACGGACTAATCGACTGGATAACAGGGAACATTGAATGGAGCTCCTTGAACCATCGCTACAAGACGTTTTTGAATGGTGAGGACAGGAAGAACTGTATCATGAAGATAGAGTTGGACAGCCCCCACCGCAAATTACGACGGTCTCTGTTGATCTTCTTTGTCGTACTGAGCATGCCGGTGCTTGGATATATCCTATGATTTTTGTACTATCACGACTAGTCTCACTTTTCTGTTTGTATCAAACTTGTTGCTCTGCATGTACTATCCCTCTAGATATCATCTATGATAAAGCCTACAACTTGTTTCGCTTCCTCGTATCAAAGCTGAGGTTGGGACTCAACTTGACCCTTCTCTCATCCACTTGCCATGTCTCGACGGGACCTTCGCATTTGACCAACCAAATCTCCGTGCCATCAAAGCCTAGTAGATGGACGTCGCCACATTGCAGTGAGATGGACTGCATATCACCCGTCGTCTCGCCACTGACAACGACACCTGTATCCCTCAATGCCTGCGCTGTCCTATCGCGATGACTTTTGTCCTCATCCGCGATGTAACACAACGACATGTGAGGAAACCTCGGTGCCGTGGGTTCGAGGCCACGACGACGCAAGTTGATCCGTATCTGGTTCTGGAGATCGACGAGATCGTGTGTAGATTGGACTCGGATGAAGACAGAGCGAAAGTAGTGGTCACCGACGACGAGGGACTGGAAATTGGCACGGATGGGTTGCTGGCTCACTGGTACGGCGTCAAGGAGCACGTTTGGAATCCCGGGATCCGAGAGGGGGACCGTAGCAAGAGTTATGTGGGGTGGGAAGGCAGGGTAGGAGCTCGGGGAGAGAAGATGATCATCCGATGGGCGTCTCGGCAGAATAGATTTGATCTTATCCATCTGTGCTGCGGCGGGCACAAGCCAGAGAGAAACACCTGAAGAGAATGTGGATAAGGAAGTCACCCACTGTTTCATGTTCTTTCGGCCGTGGACCTTACCCATTCTCCAAGTGAGAGTAAATTCTGGCTATGGTCTCTGTAGACGAACTGGGTGAAGTGCAGGTTGCACGAACGAAATAAATGTTAGAAGGAAGGATGACAGCAGTTAGTTTACAGACGATGTAGTTTATGACATTTTATGGCTTCACAGACACACGGTACAACACCATCAGCGAAATTCCCAATTCCTCCGCTAGTCACTCAGAGGACTACTCGTGCGGTCCCAGACTCACCCAACTACTTCCAACGCTGGTGCTCTCAAGGTCCCCGTCATTGCTTTCTGCCTCCGCGTCAGGACTTGTTCCTTCTTCCTCGACATTGGGGTGCGACTCGGGAGTAACTGCGGCTTCTGAGATCGTGGAGTCTAGTCCAACAGGCCGATGTAGAACTAAAGAACTTGTCCCAGTGCCCGGAACATTCTCTGGGTGAGAAGCAGGAGTTGTAGATCTAACAGTGCGATTGCTAGGAGGGTCAGTTCGTGGGGGTAGAGGAGGTAAAAGGCGATTCCGAATGGTCATCAGGAAGTGAGGAAGGGCCAGAAGGCTATCCAGAAGTACGGGAGGAAGATATGACGCAATTGCATACGTGCCAGCTAACAAAACATGAGGTGAGTCAATGGAACGGCGAGTTAATGGCGCGACTGACCTCCTGCCCCGATAGAAAACCTATCACCTCGTACCCAGTCTTTAAACTGTTCATAGACAAGGCCAAAACCGATACCGAAAACGAACTTTCCAGAATATCTTGCCTTTGTTCCACCACTGGCCACGCTGACAAGACTGTCGACAAAAGTAGAAACGTCCGCCGGAACACGGGAACCTCGGGTTTCTCGTAGCGCACTGAGGGCCGCCCCGTATGTGGCTTTCTCCGAAGGAGTCCAATCATCCATATTGACTGTCTCACTGAGATCACCCGTCGATGAGCCAACTGCCCCTACATCCACAGTTACGATACGGATTGCGCTCATTCCTTGGGCGGCAGCAATTTCCCGGCGGAGAACATCGGCCGCACGGAGAGTGGCAGCGGCGCTCATGGCGTTCACACTCCCAAACGGGAGTCCCACACGTGCATCAGCAGCTGGTAAACATAGGATGATAGATTTGTGACCGCGTGCGCGCGAGGCGTCTGCGCGGAGCAGTGGCAGCAAGGCCTGGATTACTTGAAGTGGTGCAACGTGTGTGGAGAGGAGATGAGGAAGGTAGGTGCTGCGCAAGGAAATTTGTTCGAATGGTGCTGGTGCACAATGGACGGACGCAGTTGGCATGGTCAACAACGATATCACAGAATGTACCATCGGATGATAAGGGGTGGGTGCGTATGGGTCGCCTGCAGCGGTTATAGGAAACCGTCGCGACAGGGTAGATGCCAAAGATCGAAGGAAAATAGGAATTGTTCCCGGCTAGCACAAGATGCATCAGACAGTCTCGGGGAGAGGGGTGGATGTCAGAGCGTACCTCGCTAGGGTCTAGTATGAGGGCGCGAACATAACCATGCCCCTTGCTTTCAATGTCACTGACAGTTTCTGGAGATGAAACGCTAGTGATGACAATATAGCCTTGTTTCTCAAATTCCATGATCAGAGGCAACCCTAAAGGATGGTCACCGCCCAAAATTACTTGACGACATATCAGTTGGCATCATAAGCAACAGGTAAGAGGCGTACCAACAGCCTGGCGTCTCTCGAATTGCGGAGACGCTACCTTGACACGTCTTCCTTTAAGAGACCTCATGCAGACAATGCTGTATCCCGCGAGTAAGCCTGCTCCGAGGGCCGAAATGGCCACGCCTGATACTATCCATGGGTGCCGGGCGATACAGTCTCCAGCATTGTCGATCAAAGACTTTGGCGGAGGGGGAGGGGGAGGAGGAGGTACCTCGAATGGCCTAAGCCCAGGAACACGGATATCCGGGAAAGAAGGCAGGCCAGGGGGACCAAAACGAGAGATGTCGAGCCAAAGACGGTTTAAGGCTTCTTGGACGTTCGGAAGTCCAGGCGAGGCGGCGGCCAGCGTGCCCACGACAAGGCGTTCGACATAGTCAAAATACTGCTCCAGCTGATCGATTGTAGGGACCATTGTTGTGGAGCTCAGATGGGTGGGTGGAGGCGGATATCAAGCGACACAACCTGGCAGAGCACAGCTTCATACATATTACCAGACCAAAAAGAATTCAACGAACGACGCCAGCAGGACTCGAACCTGCGCACTCAAAGAGTAACAGATGAACTGCTTCGCGTTCTAATCTGTCGCCGTAACCACTTGGCTATAGCGCCTTAGAGTTAGTCTGGTGACCAGCCCGTCTAAAAGAGGCACGTGCGCTGCAGGCTTAGACATGTACCGCATACGCCCTCTAAGAATCGCGGTATAATAATTTGTGTCGACACAATGCCATACGACGAGGCCAGATAACATCATGCCCACAATATCTATGTCTCTAGTTGCTACCCATCTCTTTAGCAAGTTGCTCGGCCTTTGCCTTGACATCCTCGATCGTACCAGCCATGTAGAACGCAGACTCGGGCAGGTGGTCATGAGTACCAGCCAGAATTTCTTTGAATGACCGGACGGTGTCCTTCAAGGAAACAAGTTTGCCTTCGTAACCCGTGAAGACTTGGGCGACTTGGAACGGTTGTGACATGAATCGCTGGATTTTACGGGCACGCTCGACCTAAACCATACTGTCAGCATGTGCTAGACTAACGCATCCATCACACGTACAGTCAATTTGTCCTCCTCCGACAACTCGTCCATACCCAGGATAGCAATGATATCTTGCAATGATTTGTAGTCTTGGAGAATCTTCTGGACGGCGGTGGCAACCTGGTAGTGTTCCTGGCCAACAATACGGGGGTCAAGCATCCGAGACTTCGAGTCTAAAGGATCCACAGCGGGGTAAATTCCGAGCTCGGCGATACTACGGGATAATACAGTCGTTGCATCCAAGTGAGCAAAAGTAGTTGCCGGGGCGGGGTCAGTCAAGTCATCTGCAGGTACGTAGACGGCCTGCACGGAAGTAATCGAACCCTTCTTCGTGGTTGTGATACGTTCTTGCCTAAATCCCTGTCAATTGCAAATACGACCCAGAGGGAAAATCACATACATGCCACCCATATCAGTCGAGAGAGTTGGCTGGTAACCGACGGCTGAGGGAATACGACCGAGCAAGGCGGACACCTCGGAACCAGCCTGGGTGAAACGGAAGATGTTGTCGATAAAGAGGAGCACGTCCTGGCCCTCTTCGTCGCGGAAGTATTCAGCAATGGTCAAACCAGTCAAGGCAACACGGGCACGGGCACCGGGGGGTTCGTTCATTTGACCGAAGACGAGGGCGACCTTGGAGTCACCCTCCAAGTTGATGACACCAGTCTCAATCATTTCGTGATAGAGATCGTTACCCTCACGAGTCCGTTCGCCAACACCTAAGAAACAGGACATAACGTTCAATACCACATTATACTGAACATGAATGTGTGCTGACCGCAGAAGATAGAGAAACCACCATGGGCCTTCGCCACGTTGTTGATCAATTCCTGGATCAATACAGTTTTGCCGACACCAGCACCGCCGAAAAGACCAATCTTTCCACCACGTGCATAGGGAGCCAAAAGGTCGACAACTTTGATACCCGTTTCGAGGACTTCAGCAGTAGTCGATTGGTCAACGAATGGGGGTGGGTCAGCATGAATGGGGCAAAGCTTGACACCCTTGATGGGTCCACGTTCGTCAATGGGTTCTCCGATGACATTCATGATTCGGCCCAGAGTTGCAGTGCCAACAGGGATTTGAATGGGAGCACCAGTGTCTACGACCTTCTGTCCACGGACGAGACCCTCCGTACCGTCCATGGCAATAGTGCGGACGGAGTTCTCGCCGAGATGCGATGCAACTTCAAGAACAAGACGACCACCGTGGAAATCCTGGACCTCGAGGGCATTGAGAATGGGAGGGAGAGCATCAGTCTCGAACTGGACGTCGACGACAGCACCGATGACCGTCTTCACGGAACCAATGGCTCCCTTGGCTTCCGATGCATAGTGACGCACTGAATTTGGATGGCAAAAAAAAGGTTGGAAATGAACGAAGACAATATAAGTACTAAGGAGGGGTGATGAAAGAAAGACAAACCTGGCTGGGCAGCAGAAATATGTGAAGGACGCGCTGCAACATTTTGCTTCGGCGCGGAGGAAGGGAAGGAGGAGCGGGCCAACAACGGTGTGGCCGTTTGCAAGAACCTGCTAGAGTTCTTTGCACTGTTGAGGGCTCTCCTGGAGACGCGTGTGACGCCACGGGCGGTAAGCATTGTGGTGAACGACGAAGACGACGACAGAAGTGAGGGAATTGGAGTAGAAGAAATACTCTTCCCGATCCCGCCAAGTAACATTCGAACTCAGTTCCAAGCTCCGACTCACCCGACTTCAGCCGTCCTTATGTAACGGCCGCATGGGTGTGCGAATAAATGGACCTTTGCATCTCGAGGGGAGGGGGACAGGCCAGGAAGATACCAAAGCCAAGTATTGGGATAAAAGCTGGAGAATATTAATTAACAAGTGTCTGTTCTTTTGATTCAATAGTGACGCGTTCGTGGGAAAGTCACGAGCGCGTTACGCGTGACCGACGCGTCCACAGAGCATCCAGTATCATACTGACGCAGTGATGACGGTCGACAGTTTCCTGCCAACTGGATTGCTTGGCCCCAAACCCATCGTTTCGCCCCCCGCGTTCGTCTCCAATGGTCTCTTGGGTGATTCGTCCATTCCGACGCTCGACACTGAGCCTTTCACTTGCATTTCGGACGCGCCCCATAGCCAGAGTGTACCTCATTCGAGTGACAACACATCAGAGGATGATGGTAGGTCGTGCCGTGTTCTCATGTTCGTCGCGTCTAATCCGGGTCATACTACAGCTCCTTCGCCGGGACCACTTGCATCATCACAAGGCAAGTACTCTTACTCCCATGCAGTGGTCATGTCTCATGGAAATCAGAAGATGCTTTCCTTTCAGTTTCAGATATCCTGGGCCTCAAATCAAATTTCAAAGAGAACCCGGAGTCATGTACCGCCTCCAGAGTATTGATACATCCCCGTGCATCTCTTCGCGCGACAACCTTCAACGGAAAGCTTGTTTTTATCCCGCGCAAGCCACGAGTGATGATTCCGCAAAAGGTGCGGAATTTCATCCCATGTCTATCATTACTAACTTGGCCATTAGTCGTCACCGATGGCAAACCTACTCGATGTGCCCATCCACAGGCTGATGGATGAACTTTCGGTATCCGCAACTTCGAGCACTATTACTCCGTATGCACAGGACTATTTCATTGTGTAAGGCGTGGTTCTCACTGCAGGTAAAAAGGACTTCAAAACCGGACGCGTCTCACCGCCCACTTGATGATATGTTGTGGGTTGATCAATATCGCCCTCAGCGCTTCACGGAGCTCTTGGGTAATGAAAGGGTCGCTAGGGAAGTGATGGCTTGGGTGAAACAGTGGGACTGGTGCGTTTTCGGTAAAAGGAGAAACAAAAAGCGGCATAGAGAAGACGACCAGAACTACGACCCCGAGGACGAATACCATCGGCCAAGGGAGAAGGTGAGGTGGCTGATAACCTCGCATCCCCATCTGTCAACTTGGCCCTTCATTAGCTGCTCCTGATATCCGGACCTCCTGGCCTCGGCAAGACCACTCTGACCCATGTCATTGCTGCACAAGCGGGCTACGAAGCGGTGGAAATCAATGCCAGGTGACTCTGTTGTACATGGTAATAGTTGTTTTGACCAAACGCGCCACAGCGACACACGGTCGGCGCAGTCAGTTGAAGACCGGGTCCGTCCTATACTTGAGTCAGGCTCTACAATTGGCAGCACGAAACCTGTCTTGCTCATTGTCGATGAAATTGATGGTGCGACTGGTGGCGGTGACAACGTACGTCATTAGCTTGACCCTCTTCGAGTACTCAGGTCTTGTTCATAGTCAAACGGTTTCGTTCAGAAACTTGTTTCACTCACCTTCGATAAACCAAAGAAAAAACGTGAGTGTGTTTTTCTTATCTGAATCACAGTTTGACTTGGACTAAATAGGGAATGTCGGAGCGCAGAAAGACAAACGACCTTTGCTACGGCCCATCATTTGCATCTGCAATGATCTGAACGCACACTCACTAGCTAAACTCCGTCCGCACGCACATCAGATTCGATACACACGACCGGCCGATATTCACATAGTCAAGCGCCTTCGGGAGATCTGCGCGCTCGAGGGGCTTGACGCAGATACAAGTGCACTCAGTACCCTGGTCAATGTTGCGAAAGGCGATCTGAGAGGCTGTTTGAACACCCTACAGGTCCGTCACCCCACTTTACATCACTTATGTATTGATTAACCCAGAACAGTTTATAAAATCACGTAATGAAGACGTCACAGAGGAATTAATCCGTCGTGCCACGGTTGGTATGAAGGAGACGGATGTTACTGCAACAGCAGTCCTGAATGAGATATTTGCTCCCTTGTCACGTAAGCGAATCCGGGAGCTGGCAATAAGTGATATGGAGGAGGCACGATACGTAAACCGCCTCAGTCGCGCTGTAGAAGCACTGAACAACCACCCCAACATTGCCAATGGTATGCTTTCTTCATAACAACCTCTTAGTATTCAATATTTTTAGGTTGCTTTGCGCATTATATGAACTGTCACCGACACGAGGCGAACATGACCCGATACGAGACGGCTAATGAGTGGTTGGGAACATTCGATATAATATCTTCGGCCATGTATGCCGATGGTGATTTTGGCTTGCAAGCATACCTCCCGTACTTGCTCGTTTCATTCCACCCACTCTGCCGAGAGCGCGCAGGGAAACGAGTTGAAAGGGACTCTACCGATTGGGATGCAAGTACCTTCAACTTTTGTACGTTACGACTACTGACACATGGGCATAGAATTTGTTGATCAAACGCACCAATGAGAATATACTGAAATCACTCTATGATGGGATTTGTGCTTCTGGAAGGAATACGGGAGCCAACCGACATCTGATCATGGGTCAGGTTCTCCAGCTAGAGTTTGCGCCATACATTAATCGGATAATATCACCCCATTTGCGACCCGTAAGTCCGCCCACCTCTTTGTCTACAGAAGTTGAGCTCATTTTGCCTTTTCACAGGTCAACAGCCAAATCATCAAACCTGCGGAACGTGCTCTGCTCGCCCGTCTTGTCGAGATCACGGTTTCTCTTGAACTCCGATTCGTACAAGAAAGAGCGGAGGATGGTCAGATGGTCT